CACCTATTGTGCACTTGACCCTTGGTCAAACAAACGTAGAAATGCAGCGACGATTTTTTACCTGACACTCTCTCAGGTATTGTTGGGGATTTGTAAAGGAAAATGCATAAATGCTATACCTGATTGAAATCATTTTGGTATTTATACAGCTTTTTTTTCTTGTCCCTCTCCACCGAGATTCCTCGCCTTTCTTGAATGTGCACCAGCTTCGGCAGCATAAGTGGGAAAAGATCATGTATGGCACCGACTATTCCTCCGTTGGCACTGCGTCGAAGAATGAAAATATTGCAAAATTCTATCAGTCCATCGAGGTGTGAATCCATACAGAAAGGTAAATAAAATAATCACCAACAGAGTGAGCGAGACCGAGTGGAGGTGTCATTGTTTAACAATCTTCTAGGGAAAGGAAAACTATTAGATCTAGACTTGGGAATTTCCCTAATCCTGGACAATATTCTATACCTGCACCAATAAATCAGGTTTAGCACAATCTTTTGTTGCTCATTCGAAGTAAATTCAAGCCGGCATCTTCATTCAAAGCTCACAACTTTATGCTTAATTTCCAATCAAGGGGAAGATAATATGGCTAAAATCCATACACCATTTCATGACACTTTCACAATTTGTATGAAAAATCCTTAATACATCTTAGGACATTAAACCTAATGGATAATTTATAACAAAACTCAAAACTACTAAAAACTAACTTTAATCACGATTTTCATTAAGAAAAAAATACGCTGTTCTACTATTAATAAAGAGAAAATCTTTTTCAGTTCACACGCAAGAATTTTTTCTTAAGTTTTCGCTTCCTGAAACTTCTTCTGCTCTGTACACCAGTTCTGATCATACTATCTTCCCCTTGTTTGAAACCTTTTTAACCTTGAACTCAGAATGTCCTCAGAAGTGCTAATCAATTTGCATTCGCGATATCAAAATGTATGTCGAAGAAAGTCAAATATTTAAATTCGCGCTCTACCCAAAAATTGCCGATTAGGTAGCGTTCGTCGCATTTAAGGAGTGACGATAAAATGCCCATAAAGATAGTGTCCGAGTCGAGCATAAATCGCGCTCGTTGGCCACATTTTGGACGCGCAATAAATCCAAATTGCTAATTGAGCAGTGATTGCAGAGTGATAGGAATTTCGAAGAGTATATCGTCGTGTTCTGGACTTGAGTACTTGAGCAAATATTGGCCTAGATGTGATTTGGTGCTGCAATTACATGTTTGATAGATTGTAGACTTCGCAAAGATCTGAAGAGAAATATTTGGTGTGGTTTTTTTTCTGCACTCAGTCTTTATAATACAATTTGGCTGAGGAGTTCGAGGCTTTTGACGTGCATCGGAGCTGAAGAATCGCTTTCATCCTCCGACCATCAAACCGCAGATCGAAGGACTTGGCATGATCCTGTGGTGGTGATTTGACAAACCACAGTCAGGCTTTCTGGGATTGAAATTGACGACAGTTTTTGGGTGTGTGATTTCGAGAGTGAAAGAAGTGGCGAAGAGAAAAGGGCGGCATCTTTGTCTGTCATCAAAGCCTGGGAAGAGATGGAGAGGCGAGGATTCCAAGTGCAGATAAATGCGACAAGTGTGCTAAATCTCTTAAAGGAACACCGCAACCGTGTCTCGCTGCTTGTCCACACGAGAAAAAAATTCCTCCAGCATATGCATAAATATCGATAATCACGTAGACATTTCTCAACTTATTGTGCAACACCCATTCATCAACCTTTCACGAGGGAGACTCCATAAGTGACTCCCTAAAAAGCCACACCGATCGTCTTCGCATATGTAAATACGGAGCAACTCTTTCCCTTATCAATCATCGCGCCTGAGAATGACTCCATTATGCCTTCGAAACTATTCACATTCGCAAGTCACATCTGCTCTCTAGCCTGAAATGTAAACATTGAGCCTCGATAAGTCGCCCAAAATGCTCATTGAATGCCATTCGGAGAGTGTTTGAGCCACTCATGATTCGCCCGATGCGTCAACAAGATCATTAAGTCCGTGACGCATTGAGAGACCTCACACATAAGCGCATTTCTATGGGCATCACTCATTGTCTCAACCACTCTCGCACTTTAGAATCGCCACCCATTTCTCAGCCACAGCCGCGGCGTCACGCAGTCTCATCTAGCATTCGCCAAAGTCTTTGTCTACGCGCTTTAGCATTTGGCAAGTCTTCGCACAGGGTGACTCATGGCGCAGAGAAGAGTACAACAATGTATTTGGTATTGAAAATAAATCATACGGGAATCTTGACATTTTCACAAATAATTGAAATGCATATCCTTTTGCATCCTCACGGAGTCCTTCTATGAAAGCACAAAAAAGCATTTCACGTGTTTTTTTGTGGGTCTTTACGACACTGATCTTTTCGCCGAAAATACTCTCGCCATTATCACGGTTTCTAATGAACTCCTCAGTATCTAGATAATGAACTTTGGCATAGAAGTCTTCTGGTCGACAGATGGTCTCAAGGTTCCACAATAATAAAATTAAGCCCGATGCGCCATGGCTCCTTCTCTGGGCGCAGAATGCTAACAGGATGAGGCCACCTTAGCGCCTTCTCCCACACATGGCATGTGTGGGAATTTCACAATATTTACAGCCCGGCTCAAGGGTGGGACACGACACCCCGAGAGAAGAGAAGCGCCGGAAGAATTTGCATAATGACTGAGAATTGTTGGGTCTCGGAACGAAGCGCATAGCGAGAAATGTGTGGCCAATGGCTGTGGCCATTGCATGTGCAACAATGTGGAATTTTGCACCACAGCAGAGGACGAAACCGGAAAATCCCAGAGTCCTTTGGCCATGGGTGCGCTGTGAAGGGATTGCTGGGTGTTTCCAGAGAAATGGGCAGCGAGGCGAGAGGCAGGTCCAGATGTTGCGCTATATGATCGTATTTTCCCAACCTTCTCTGCACCTTTCGGGCCATAATTTCACCAAAACACATAGAAGGTGTCTATCTTTCTCTTTAGAATATTGCACTTTTACGGTGAGGATTTGCATAAAAGTCTGGGTGCAATTTTGCCTGAACATGTGATTTCGACACCTTGACTTCAACTGTCGGGAAAGTCCCAGAAACATTCGCCACTTCGCATTGGCATCAATTTGGCCGTTTGTTCGATTGGCAGAGGACAAAGGATGGTGAAATACAGTAACATTTCTGGTGAATAAAACGCCAAAAGGACTCCTTTATACCTGCAGAATGGAAGTTACTGTACATTTGAGGGGAAGACAAAACGGTAAATCTGAATTACAACCCCTTGACTAAAGGTGCTCAAACATCGAAGGCCGATCAAATGAAATATCGCCATTGTTATTCGGCTTTCAGCATCAATTGTGCAGCACACCAACGGTAAGGCACCGGCGATGCCTGCAGATGTTTGAGGTAGTTTGGACTTCTGATAGAGTTTCCAAATTAATCCGTATATTTCCTCCTCGATCACCGATGCTGTGATTTTGTGAAAGTGCACAGCTACGGAAAACCGGTGAAAAGGTGTTCCTTCCCCAGGCAGTTGCCCTCTTTTGGCGACCCCCTCACACCCTATTTATGGAAATTGAGGAGAGAAAAAAAGAGTCCTCTGCCTTGTATAAATAGACGTTGAAGCCATGAAAACGAGTTCCTCGTCATCCCAATGTACTATTTGTACAATCGCACTCTTGCATCAACCAATACTTGGGCGTAGAAATCACATCTGTCGCGTGCCGATGCATGCCAAGGGAGAGGATCTGGTCCCGACCAATGTCTGGCCGGAGATAAATGGTGAGATGGTTGTGTTAAAACTAGCACATTCTGGTCCGCTTGTTGGATCCACCCCAGGAAAGTAGGTAAAATCGAGATGTCTTCTTCCTATTTCCGAATGTCGCCCTCGGTGCTTATGCAGAGGCAGTGTATGAGAGCCAAAATCATAAGGATCAAAGTAGGGTTCACTCATGTAGCAGCTTTAAAGTGTGTGACAGAGAGGGAGCGAGAGCACCAAGGAGAATATATATGTAATAATACGTTAAAGGAATAATTTAACTAATCTGAAAATTCATTAAAAATCATTTATTGGTGCTGAATATATTGGGATTATCCTTTTAAGGATTTCAAAGATCGAAAGAAACTCTTAATCTGAATTTAATTGCTGTTACTAAATGCTGGTCAATCCAATATCGTCATATTCGCATTGCTTAATTTTCTATAACCATTGCAACTGATTGCAGTGTAATGAGTTAATAAGATTTTCAGGATATTCCTAAAGCGGAGATTTATGCAAATATCGAACATCATCGATAAAATAAGTGAGTTCAATAAGAGTAATTCATCTTGTCAGGACAAACTCGCATATTTCCCCCTTGAAGGAAGCGGTGCTGTGAGTTTTTGCTGGGAAATCCTGACTCGGTGCAGAACGCATCTGTCTCGATCCCATTTGGGTGGAAATCACGGCGCAGCCGAGAAGTAACGGTCATTTTTTGTCCCTGCCTCAATTCAACACGGGTAGCCTCTATTGTTGAAGTCCCAGCCCGCGGCACTGGCATCTGGCCAGAGTCCATTTCGTCACCGCGTGTGCATACTCCAGTAATCGCTCAATTTGGCGATGAGCGATTGCGCGACTCGGCGATCTTGCACAGATCGCGATCGCGGTCGATTTATCAAATCGCAGCGACTTCTCACCACTCGCAACCCCCGATCGATCGTGCCGAGATTGATCATTGGGCGATCGAGAGCGTCCGATCAACGGTTTCTGCGCCTTCGACTACCTCATCGCCTTCCCCATATTGCACTGAACGCTCTAACACACACCTGTCTGTCCCACCAGGCCTACCAGTCGGAGTTCCGCCTTTTCAGGTTCCAGTCGAAGGGGGAACATGCTTGCCGGACGCCGATTGGCCAGGTGGCACGTGCGCCAGTGCCAGGTGCCGCATGGAGGGGATGGCGGTATATAAGGAGGGCACCAACACCAAATCCGGCATTCAAGGCTCGACGCCTCATGTGAGAAGTTGCCTCAGAGCTCCGCTCTCTTTTGTGTTTTATTTTTGTGTTTATTTCTCTTTGAGTTGGTGTTCTCCAAATCGCACTCGAGACCTTTTTTCCATATCCCATCAAGTGTTGAGTTGTGAGAGAGAGAGACAGTTTCGTGCTCTGTGCCGATCAGACGACAGAGTGTTAATCAGTTGTCGCAGCAATTATAGACATTTTGCCCAGCGTGAGCTTGCAATTACGGCAATTAAGACATTTTTGCGGAGGAAAGAGGATTTCTGTGTTGTGTTGCCGAAGAGGAATTATGCCAACGTCCATCATGCAGAAGAATTACAGTCACTGTCCACTGAAGAAGCGGCCGGTTCACATCGTCCGCGAGGAGGTGATAAAGCAGGAAGGTATTCTCAGTGCACACTTCTCGGGTTCTGCAGAGTTCTCAGAAAAGGCCAAAATCACCAGCCGCCCCTTGTCCATTGCTGCAGAACACGATTCAGACGAGCCTGAGAACTTGAGTACAAAGCCCGAGGACTTGTCCAAGAGTGGCAAGTACCCGAAGAAGCCCACCACTCCGGTGTCAAGGAGTCCCTCGCCACAGAGGCACAATGTGGCCATTCCGACACCACAGTACCCAAGTGTGCCCCTGAACTACCACGCGCCCATCAAGTCAGACGCCCTAAACTACGCGAGTCCCACCAACTGGCACAAGCCCGTATCCTCGCCGGGCCCAGCGGCCTATCCGGCGTATCTTCCGCTACCCGGATACGTCCTGCCCTTCCCGGGGGATCACTACGGAAGCATCTACCCTCACCATCCGCCATCGCCCGCGAGATCCGACCAGCTCTCGCCCTACGCCCAGAGGGACTCCTCTGTTTCACCACCCGCTCATGGATTCCTGGCCGCGAGGACACCTCGAGACGCCTCCCTCTCGCCGCCGATCCTCATGCAGCCCTACGCCACGGATCTGCGCAGGATTCACAACAACAACAATAACGTAATCAAGTCCGAGCATTACGGCCACCACCGCTTCATGCCCTACCATCTGGGCCACCACCAGTCGCTGATGATGCCCGTGGATCACTCCTCCCTGTCGCCCACATCGAGCCACGCATCGTACAACTCCCTGATGTCCTCCAGGAGGTCAACTTCGCCATCCTCGAGCGCCTCGACTCCTGAGGACCTCTCCTCTGGCCACCCGCTGCGCCCGCTGGCCGAGAAGTCCTCCTCAAGTGCCAATATCCAGAAAGTGAAGAAAGACAGTGAGAAATCAAGTGCAAACGGTGCTCCGCGGTATCAGTGTCCGGACTGTGGCAAGTCCTACTCCACCTTCTCCGGCCTGTCCAAGCACCAGCAATTCCACTGTCCGGCCGCCGAGGGCAACCAGGCCAAGAAGTCCTTCAGCTGCAAGAACTGTGACAAAGTGTACGTGAGTCTGGGCGCTCTCAAGATGCACATCCGCACGCACACGCTGCCCTGCAAGTGCCACATCTGTGGCAAGGCCTTCTCGCGACCATGGCTGCTACAGGGACACATCAGGACACACACTGGGGAGAAGCCCTTCAATTGCCAGCACTGTCAGCGCGCCTTCGCCGATCGCTCGAATCTGCGCGCCCACTTGCAGACGCACTCTGACATCAAGAAGTACTCCTGCTCATCGTGCAGCAAGACGTTCAGTCGCATGTCTCTGCTCACGAAGCACACAGACGGCGGGTGTCCCGGACTCCAGATGACCAGCCCCGGATTCACGCTGCCCACCAAGGACATCAGTGTATACTGAGGGCAGCTACCGGCGCCCCGCCAACCAAGACTGATCTCTGACCACCGAGCACATGTGTAAGCACTGATCAACCCCCCGAAGCCCTGTAGATTTACCCTTTGCTATTAATTTTTTGCATTTCTGCATCCCACTTATGATTGTATAGACGCTCATGTCAAACCGCTTTGAGGATTTTTTAATTTATTGTCATTCCCTAGGCTAGATCTCGTATCATTTCTCTTATGTATTTTTATTTGTGTACTTTGACTTAAGGGCGACAAGAAGTTTACCAAAAATTAGTCTCTAGGTGTGCTTCCGCGACACGATCGCGATCGCGGGAGAAAACTAGTCAATTATGAGCACGGTACTTGATTTTTTTATCTATCGATCTCAAGACACAACATCCCAAAATTCAATACACACACTTTTTGCCGCGCATTTAATAAATTTTGAGAGGAAATATGCGCTCAATTGCGATCGAGCTCCCCCAAAAGTTGTGCCTTACAAAAAAAAGAAAGATAAAACGAAAAAGAATCGAAAAGACAGCCAACAATAGCTTAAAGAAAACGATCGCGCAAGTTAAGAATAAGAATGTAAAAAGCAAGTAGAGTGTAAGAGATCATGTAAAAAAGAGAACAGTGTAAATAGATGTAGAACGTACGAGCAGATTATTTAATATATTATTATATATTTTCTCTGTAAACACAACCACTACGAAGTTAAGGAAGAGTACCCCGTATAATTACATTGTATAAGGAGGAATGTTTATTTTTGCAAAAAATAAACGAAATTACAATAATATCACATTGAAGAAAACTGTGTTTCTCACTCATCGCATCGCGGGAAGATGATCGGCAGAAAGGAGGCTCGGAGGAGACAAGATGAGAGCGCGCGTCCGAAAGATTTCAGGCCTGGAAAGACACATCATTCAGCAAGATGAGAAATGAGGAAGAAGAACTGTGCGCGGAGAGAATTATGGGCTGCGTGGTGCGTTGGTTTGAAAGCCATTTAGCAGAAATTACATTGACGATCATGGCTTGTACCTGCGCTCATCTCATTTAGCATGATCACATTTCTCTTCCCTCAAAAAGCCACACAATTCAGCGTGTGTTGGCGGACACGGCAACAGGGTAATCTTCAATTGCGCGTACCAATTTGCGCTGGTGATGCAGGTCCAGGTGAGTCGGAGTCACCAAATGGGAATACGCTGTTCAGGTAGCTTTTCCTCCCGACTCTCTCGCCTTGCCGTCTTTTGATAGAAATGCGTGGTTAACGTTATTTTTAATCTCTCAGCCGTCCAAAACTAAGGTGTGCCCCGTGCTTGTGCATAAAGTATGATTCATAGCGTATAATGAACAGACTTTATGTTCGCATTCAACGCAACCAATTTTTTTTCCTCTCTTTCTCTCGCTGCTTTATTGTATTAATATTCCACAACATCCACTGGAGTCATTGAGAGTATATCGCCCAGGAGAATAGAGATCTTGCAAGTGGATTTACAACCGAAATGCATCAATCCTGGGCTCTTGCTAAATGTCCACTGTGCACTTTTCGCTGGCGAAAGACTTGAATATGGCGCTAATTTCACAGACAGAAAATCATGTGGTAAGTAATAAAGCTGGTGAGACGCTATATTTTCGGTTAAGTCTTGTCAAAAGCACCGTGACAGAGATCAAAGAACATCTTGTTATTGTGGCATGGCAAAGAGTGTCTCTGGTGCAGCACAAAAAGAGTGGATGCAGAGGAGAAAAGACATTTGCACAGCGTGAAAAGTGGTGCGCGGTTCGTCGCTTGATTCAGGTCTTTCGTTTTGAATATGCAATTTGATGTGGTCGTTATCTTGACCTTCCAGCACCGCGATTGCAAACGAGCATTAGCCAGAGAGAATGGGCATCAATTTAATCATCATTATCATCAGTGCAAATTTACACGGATCTTCGGCATATAATATCAATGTAATACCTACTCATTGTGCACCTCGCACTCTGTTAAACGCCGTTATTTAATTCAATTTAGTATGCAAATCAGGTAAATTGTCTCAGCCACCTGTCGTGTTGGGTGTCACTTAATCGAAATGATTATTTATTTTGCGAATTTCCACTGCGCGCCTCCAGTTATCTTATTTATGAGCGCATTCACATGCCGAAAGGGCATTCTCGGGGCCGCGGAAGTGACAATGGTCAGAAGATGGCACGCAAGTCATGTCTCGCTCGCCACGGAGTGTGCTCGACTCAGCGGCCAACGCATCTAATTTCTGGCCCTCCCGCAACACCAGGAAGATCAGCCGCGAGGTATGATTAATGGTGACACCGTGACTGTGCACAGGACTCCGACTGCATCTCATCTTTAATTACCGACTATCGATTTCACATTGCATCTCCATATCGATTGCATAGTTCAACGTCTCGCGAGACACATGCTCAATGCGCAGTGACTAATGGCTTTTTACAGCAATTAAAACACAATTTCCCTGATTACCATCGCATATGGCTCAAGGATGCCCATCAGGTCCTTGCCAGGATAACCTGTGACTCCGCCGACGCGCTGCGGCCACAGATGGTGCGACTGAGCTCTCGGCTTTTCTGATAAATCATTCCCTCTGGACCACAAACTTGGGCGGCAACTCAGGAGGAAATTGGACGAAGGATACGAACAGGAATTTAATTTATTGGGATCTGAGAAAACCACAAGGCAAACGGTTAAAACGACAGAGACTCGCAGCATTCAGGTGCCAAAAGGTTGATTTCAGACGAAAGTTACCCCTAAATTTGGTGGTTTCAGGGTCACTAAAAGCAATTTTGAACCATAATTTGAACATAAAAGCAATGTCTATGAACAGTCGTACATATTGTAGGGATTCTTACCTCAATTTCTCATGATCTCAGCAATTCCCGTAAACTTACTTATGTGATCAATCAAACAATTGAAGCTATAAAGAATTTTATTGGAGGAAATCTTCAGAATGATTCTCGCCGAGAAGGCCACACTGCCTACCGTTTCGCCTTATGCGAAGTGTGAGTCTCTCATTCTCATTTCCGCCCAGACATTTTGGGCGAAAAAGAAGCCATTCCTCAGCGCGCAGAGTCCGCGAGAGCCCAACACCGGTAGCCGGAGCGTCAGAGGTGAGCTGTAAAGCTCTAAATGCCAGGGATTAATTTCATTTTGGCTCTTTTTCCTCGTGCCACTCGATCAATATCTCGCTCTCTGTAGCAATTTGCATTCATTTTATATTGGCCACCACCTTTTAGTCCATTGTGATCTCAGGAGATTCGCGTCGTGAAATTTTTGCACAGATCGCGCGAGGTTTTACGATCCGCGCCAGCGGGGAGTGGGATTGCATGGAGATAATTTTATGATTATCGTGAAGAAATCTCCAGTGATAAACACCCACGTCAGTGGGAATTTCAGGCCTCTCCAGCGCTCTCATGGGCAATTGTCGTTGCGGAGGGACTGTTGTTGATGGTAAATTGGCATGAGTGAAGCCCATCAAATTTAATTAACACTCGCAATGATGGTCGGGGGAAAAAATATGGCCACTTCCTCGTGCAGGCTCAGGAGGCAGCGCGCGGTGGCTCGACAGCGCGAGAGAGGAGAGATCGATAGCCGGATGGAGAGTGGCGAGTCCCATGGTTATCGCGAGGTGCACTTGTTCAGTTTCCAACCGACCTACGCACCGCGCGAGATCGCCAGACGCGAATCTCGCGAGGCTCGCCGTGGAGGCGAAAGAAGGGACGCGAAGACTAGCTGATGCCATGTTCTCCGTCTGACCTATTCGGCTTCCTGATGCTGTTGCATATCGCGCTTCGCGGCGCAGCTTCCGTCACTGAGCCGCCTCGCCGATCCCGAACCGTGCGCGCATTTTCACCCATCATCCCAATCGCTTCGACAGAACGCTGAGGTGAGAAATTTGCAGAGGTTGTGCACTTCAAGACTGGTGGATTATGAGATTTATCCACCTCCATCGTTCTTCGACATATTTTGTTGGCTTTTTTAATACACAACCACGTCGAGGAAATGTGCACTGCTACAAATTCGTGCCTGTGTTGAATGCCTCGAAGTGGTCGCGCGATTTCCGGCAACTATTTGTATATAATTGCGTGAAAGTAAGTGAATTAAAATATACAATATTCGACCAGCACTTGACGCCCATTATTTTTGTTCAAGCTAAAAAATGAATGCAACTATGATTAACAACAAGTTTATTGCACAATTTACCTAATTATGAGTTTAAAAACAATAAGAAAATAAGCCTCACAAGTCTTGAGAAGTGTCCAATCATTTACAATATTCCTTTCTATATCTAAGATTTATTTCTGAAGAAAGAAATATAGACATTTCACATCATTTTCTTGCGCTCTGCACTGCGATTTGTAAGCGTGTACTTGTGTTGTTCGCCACAATGGAGAAAAAAGTCGTCTCCTGAGTGGGTTGATGGTAAAACACATTCAATTTTGCGAAGGAATTCACATGAGGACCTGTTTCAGGGAATCAACCTGTTTTCAGCACACTCACCAAGGCGGAAAAAATCCATCGCGCAGCTCCAATAAGCCGAGATCGCACAGATCGACATGGCAGAACAAAAGGCCATCCATGGGGCGCTCCGTTCGTCCCGAAAAGAAGCGCATTAAACGGAAAAATTGTGGCGTGAAATTTCTCCAAAGGCGTAATAAATCGTAGCATCCTAAGCCCCGGAGCAGTGACCATATGGTGTCCAATTTCTGGGCGCGTCATCGCGCGATAAGGCTCCGCCAGGTAATTGGATGGAATTTAATACAGATCGCGGCCAGCAGGGAAAGAGTGCAAGATACAAAGTTGGGGAGATGATTAAAAGGAGAGGGAAAAAAGGGTGCCCTCGGAGCTCCCACTTTATTGCTTTATTACACTGGGCGAAGAGGTTTTTCGACGTGCTCTTCAGCGAGAGAGCAAATCTGATACAATATGTACGGACGCTTGGGAGTCTCGCGAGGGAATCGCGATGGTGCTGATCGCTGGAAGACGGAGTGCCGTGGCATTTTCTCATCCCGGCCGAGGAAGAAGATGCAGAAGAGGAGGAGAGGCCGC